TTCATTAAACATCCCTCAACACCAAACCCATTAACCACAATAGTGAGTGCTTTGAGCAAATGACAGATGCACTCAAGTTTTTTCTGTCTGAATACAGTACCAATTTAGCATGGGACATTTCTTACTGTAGCCTAGGCTTTTCAGAGCTGAGGAACAACATAGATGGCTCCCCGTTTCCAAAACAGGACCCATAGCTCTTTCCTGTAGTCAGTCTACTGCCCAAAGGCACTGATTCATTTGCACAAAACAGACTTGAGTGCTCTCAATATGCCAGGAACTATGCCTGGTTACAGAATAACTTTTCAAATTCTAGCAGAGGGTAGAAACCACAAAGAAATTGGACAACTGAAGTACAGTATATGCTGTAAAGGAAATGACTAGGGAGATGTAATAGAGTAACCGGGAGGCCCCTCTGAAATATTTGGGATGAGACCTGAAGGTGGCAAGGAACCCAGCAAGAAAGAACCTAAGGAGAGAGCATTGTGCCCATTCATGTCGCTGACGTTACCACTTCTAATGCACTTCCCTCTGTTTGCCTTGTTTCGCTCTCTACATTTCTCCTTGTTTTCTGTTATTTTTCCCCTTTTATGTGAAAAGGCTCGTGGTTTTTTCTAGAAATGGGAAGTAGAGCATTTCTGGTTATATTTGGTATAATCTTGAAGTCTTTCTTTTTAGTTTTGTTTAATGTTTTTATTGATCTCAGAGAGGAAGGGAGAGGGATAGAAACATCAATGGTGAGAGAGAATCATTAATTGGCTGCCTCTTGCACACTCCCTATTGGGGATTGATTGAGCCTGCAACCTGGGCATATGACCTGACAGGAATTGAACCATGACCTCCTGGTTCATAGGTGGACACTATCCATTGTACCACACTGGCCAGGCTCTTGAAGTCTTTTTAGATGTATGATTTTATTCTTTCCCAATAGACAAGGTATAATAATATCACTTTTGGTGAGCTCATTTCTCATTTAGTTTCACACACTTAGTAAAATAAGTCTTTTCAGCTGTTCAAAAGAAATGAACATATCTGGTTCACAACAGTTCAGATGAAATTTAGTCATTGCCGAAGTACTTGGTTCTTAGCTTGGAGCAATATTACCTACTTTTCTTTTTTAAGATCTAATTCTCTTCTCATAGTTCTTTTGAAAAAATGTTCGGAATAGAGAGACTAAATAGCAAATGACAAATGCACACAATACTGCATTTAAAAAAAAAGATCCTTGATTAATAGTCAATGCTTCACAAGATAAAACTATAAGTTTATAATTTTTCCTCATAAACCTGAAATAAGAAACAGTTCAAAATTTCAAAATAGTTCTTTATTAATAAAGCATTTTATAAATACACATTTTAAATTTACATGTTAGGTAAAATACATCCAAAGTTAAATGTCACTTCTCAGATTATTGTACAGAAGTCATATATACAATTCTTTTGTTTTCTAGTAATTTTATACCAGTGATTTGAAACATCCTTAAGATTTAATAATATATTGTAATAATTTCATTTTTCACTTTTTAGAGCTTGATAGAAGACAATCAATATCCTGAATAATTTCAGAGGTTCTTTTCAATGCCACTGATACTCTCTTTTCATTAACTTCTTCTAGCAAGCTTTCTGAATAGTTTGGTTTACAATCAAAAGACTGTTCATTTTTCTTGTTAGAAATCTGGTTTAGGACACCACTATTCTCCAGTAACACTAAGTTGCTTAGTCAAGGAATTTTTGCCCACATTTTTCATTATACAAGTGTTTTTAATTTCAGAAAGCCTGACTTCATATTAAAATAGGATTTCTCCATTGGGGGGAAGATCTTTTGGATTCATAATAGAGTTGGTACTTCAGAACTTATCAAGTCTGTTCCTCATAGAATATAAGGCCAGCATTACCCTGACAACCATAACCAGACAAAGACACTACAAGAAAACAAAAATACATGTCAATATCACCAATGAACATGCAAAAATATTCAGTGTCATGTACCTTCTACAGAGAAGCTACTTCTCAAATATCTTAAGTATTCATTGAAGCTCCACAATATAGGTGTGGATTAATATAATCTATAGGGTCATGAATTAAACCTAGAATGGAAAGGAAGTAATTATGTAGGACAATACATTATGTTTAAAGGATACAGTTAAACTTCTGTATCTTTTCAAGTTCAGAAGCCACACACCTGTGGGGAAAAGAAAAGTAAGTTCATGCTAGTTATCTGATTCTTTTTTATACACAATATTTCAAATAAGCATACTTGACTGTTTTC